GTTTTCTTTGTGGCAAATTTTCTTCAGCACGGGTAGAGGTCTTACCAAATTTTAAGACACGCAGGAGTCTTTCAGATGAGTACGATGTTTAACTTGGGGATTGGATTTCAATTCAAGAGCAATTTTGACTCAAGAGCCTTTTTTCAGTTTTTTGCTCTTCGACTCCGCAACACGGGGGATATACAAATTCCAGCTTGCTAGAAGGTGATGTGAAAGTGAGAAAATGTCATGCAATGCTATTCTTAAGAAACTGTATGAGCCGAAAATGGGTGTGATTTTGACCATTCGCTTCAAAATAACAGCGGAAATCGAGATAACAAAACATATGTTTTGTGTCCTACTTTGCAGACGAGGACGTGTATCGGCGTTTTGAAAAGCATAATTATGTTCTTTCATTCATTTATTGCCATGGAATATGCGTTTACATTGTTTTTTCACTGTTAATAGCTCGGTTAATGCGGCTGGCGATCATCTTGCCGCCGGAAGTTTCATGGAAGAGGAATAAAATGAAAGACTTTTCTTCTAAACTACGTAATCAGTCTCTGTGGTGTAGTGGTTAAGTGTCGTTTCGTCGAGTCGAAGGTGCTGGGTTCGGATCCTACTGACTTATTCATTCCTTCTTTCTTTTTTTTCCCGTTTTTTGTGTTGTTGTTTTCTATAAATATATAGCTAAATAACTGTTACTTAATAAAGTGCAACAAACAGCAAGAAAAGTATTGTGTTTCCAGAGAAAATATCGTGCACCGTATATTAAATATATGGATAAACGATCTGAATTTCTATTATTTCCTACAATTTACTGTGGGAAAACCAGAGTTGATAACCACTTGATCATTTTCTAAACAACGTTCCCACGAGTTCTTTCTACAGACTGATAGTAATTATTCTAGTACTTTCCAACATGTAAATAGGACATTCAATGTCATTTTTGATTCTTTTAAGTCTCACTGCCTAACTAATACCAGTATCAACAGAATGTGCCGCAGCATTACTATCTTTTAGATACCCTAGTTTATTATTATTATTATTATTATCATGAGAATCTGTTGATTGGGAAACAAAAAAGTGTCCGCCGGTGAATACAGACTAGAGATGTGACGTCACAAAAATTCAAATTTGTAAAATAACAGGATTTGTTGACACATCCAGAAAGACCAAGATGAAATACGGTATGTTCACTTGCCAGAAATGAGTCTGTTGGTTCAAATTAGCGTGGAAATAAAAGTATTGTTGTGCTCCGAAGGCTCCATAGAAATCCTTCTAAAATAGAGCGTATTCACTCAGGTCGCCAGACTCTATGCAAATTTACTGAAACAAAAGAAAGCATTTAAATGAGAAAAGAGTTCAACTCCCACAGGATCTTCTTGACACACCAACATGGCCGCCGTTTAATTGTTTTCGAACACCAATATGGCCGCCGTGACGTCATGTGAATACTCTCTACAGGCCTGGATCGTAACATTACGTAACGCGGTGTCAGCATACCAGTGTCCAGACCTACCGTTTGTAGACCTATAAGACGGTTGCTTATAAAGAACACTCAAGTCTCTACTTTAAATAATTTGTAAATATAATTTTCAGTGCAAATGGAAACGAAATTAATTTGTGCCCTTCAACCACCAAACAGAGCATGCAGTAGTCAATGCAATACACCTGGCCCCAGTTGTTCAAAGGGTGGATAGCGCTGTGAACCTCTTGAACAACTGTAGACTGGATGGTAAATCCTGCAGCTACAAAAATTACATTTTCATTAGTTATTACATACCTAGGGTTTTTGGCTACTTTTTCTGTCTCAATGACATGTCACATGATGTCTTCTACACCTCATTGCAACCAACCTGTGTATTCAACACCATATATTGTAGATTTCTAAATTAAATTTTTGCACATTTACAGCTAAAAATAATGTACATGAAATAACTGAATGTCATATAAAGTACATTACGTAAACCCATTCGCCCCAGGAGCTTTGCTGGAAGACGTGTTGTAAAGCTAGTCGAAGTGACCGGAAACTTACCAAAAAGCCGTTTGCAGTTTGTGCAGTTCGTGACACAGCAGTCCTGACATTTACGTTTCGCCTTTCTTGCCCCGTTTCTTTTTTCCTTTTGCTGGGCACTTACTAGGCTGCAATTCGGTGGAAAATATTTTTGGCAAAGAGTTTAGGATCGCAGGATTAGATGGAAGGAAGTGCGGGTAGGTAGTGGTACAACGTACAAGATTTTCATCTGAATTCTTGGGTCTTCTTCAAATGGTTTTTTGCTTTTTTTCCGCAGCCTCCTTGACTACATCATTCTGGTATGTTTTTTAAAGATCTCTTCCCCCGGCACAAGTAAGATGACAAAGTTGTCCTTTGTCGTTCAAACTGAAGACGTCGAAATAAGCGATACAAGGGACGTGGATCCGCATGGGCGGCTAACGGGGATTAAGGGGCGAATAGGTTAAAAGAACTTTAAAAATTGTGCTACAGTTTCAAGAACTCTCATGACTGGCAAACTCTGCTAAAGAAACAGTGTGGCGAATGGACAACCCTTAACTGAGCCACCTCGCCTGTTTTAACTGAACTCTCAACTAAATATTTCTGCAATATTAAACAGCTGCTGACACTGAATAGAGGGATATGATTTAGTCATCTTTCTTTAATCTTTTTTTAATCATGGTAATGACACAAGCGTTACAAATAATGCTAATCCAGAATTTACTTTTAACTCAAAAGCTTTCACTAGTGGACACCACAAAGAAACAATGACTTTTTCTTTTATGTCTACCTACTGTCTTTGCTCCTGACAGCCAAATCCAAAAAACTATTTTTTTTTTTTCACTGAAAATACTTTTGACTTATAAATATGCTTAGTTTTTTACCTAGATGTATGTAAAGTTCATTTTTTTAACATGCTTATTTCCTATTTGCCAGTCTCACCTTATACATATAACAACGAAGGCATGCTTATTGCATCAGATATTCTTAAAATAGCAACTGTCATTCAGCTCAAGAAGTATTGTTGTTGTTAGTGAAAAGAAATACATGTATCCAAACTTACTACTGCCTAAAAATACATGTTAGTATTTACTGCTATGAGATATTATTAGGGTGTAGTTAATGGATTCATATATTTAACACATAAATCCCAATATCCACATACAAATTCTCCAGGCTGATGTCCACATATTTCCTTACAGAAAAATTAGTTGAGAGAATTTGATAAAAGATCAAATCATTTTCCTTTTGGTGATCATGATATTATTAATTCCCATAACCCAATCTATTGACAAAATATGTATTGGTACTGTTAGGAGTGGTAAACTTGACACTCTTGGGACTTGAAAGGTTTAATGTGCAAAATATTCTGCCATTTTTTCGAGCTCTGTTAAAACACAGCAGAGCTACATGTACCGAATCTGCTGTCCCCTTTTTGTTCAATATCACAGCTAGGGATATAGATCTATAATAGGTGCAAGTCAGGGAAAATCAACGGCTGTCAACCTGATTTTTCCAGCTGAAAAACATTCCAGTCTTTTTAAAGCCTGCAAAAAAAAGGCAACTATTTTCTTCTCATATTGCCCGCCTATTAAATGCCATTTCCTGTCTGTTAAAAATTTAAGCTACATCCCTGATACACCTGTATCAGTATACTGAAGCTGACATCAACAGTTTATTTTTTAAACATTGCGATCTAACTTCTCATTGGCTATGAGCCTACAGTTAATTATAGAAATCAGCACCACCTAAAGACTAGTTAGGCATCTGCTAGCAGATTTCTGACTAATCTGTAGGTTGTGTGTGCAATGCATAATTTCCAAGAGCAACATCAAACTGTGTTCTGCACTTGTGTGAAAGTGTCTTTATCATTATCATTTTTCTTCAAAGCAGGTTTGGCTGATAACACTTACTTTGACCTTTATTATTAATATTACAGATACCACAAAAAAAATCATCCAATAATTGTATAGTATTGATATTACACAAATTTTGTCAACACTAGCTATAGTTATAAAGAATTTGTTGGAGGATTTACAAGGTTACATAAATGTCTTCAACGAATCCTCCATTACCCTGTAATTATGATTTATTTACTATTCAAGCATTAAAAATTGCCTTTCAATCCTT